CGGGAGCTCGAGCGGGGGTCTGGGTCTGCAAAAGTGCTGAGCGAGTGCATTCTGCGCTCGAGCGGGAGGTTGGCCGCTCGAGCGGAAGTCTGTGAGTGGCCGCTCGAGCGGGGTGTTTTACGCTCGAGCGGAGACCTGGGTTAAAGTTCCGAAATTGTGACTTTTCAAATCACTTTTTCACTTTCCAACCCTACGCTCGAGCGTACAACGCTGCACAGGAAAATACTGAAAAAGGGTGATCTCGCATCGAGCGCCAAATCCCCGCTCGAGCGTACAGGCCAAAAATCTGGGCAACTAGTTTTGGTTTCTAAAATCAACCAACCTGTAACAAATCCGCCCAACACATCCCATAAACCAAATACTAAGTAAAAAAAAAAAAAAAAAAAAAAAAAAAAAAATGCAAACAAGATGATAGACAACTACCAACATCCACGGACACATGTCCGGATCACGGTATAACAAGGGTAAACCCGGGATCGCTATTGCATGTGGCTAAAAGATTAAATCAGTAAGCATAGAACGTTGTATACTTTTGGTAATGAACCTCTTAAGCATAAAACATTTTATGCCTTTGGTAGTGAATCTCCAAAGAGATTAAACTATTAAGCATAGAGCGTTTTATATACCTTTGGTAACGAACCTCCTAAGCATAAAATGTTTTATGCCTTTGGTAGTGAATCTCCAAAGAGATTAAACCATTAAGCATAAAGCATTTTATACCTTTGGTAATGAACCTCCTGAGCATAAAACGTTTTATGCCTTTGGTAGTGAATCTCCAAAGAGATTAAACCATTAAGTATAGAGTGTTTTATACCTTTGGTAATGAACCTCCGAAGAGATTAAACCATTAAGTATGGAAGAGTTCCTTTCTTATACTTGAACCACAATCTTAATTTTTCACAACTTTTTAATCGAAATAAGCAAAGAAAGGAGGGAGGTTGCAGAGATGATTATGCGAAGTTGATTAATTGGTTAGTCCAAACAAACTTGATATTTAAAACATAAATTATTGAAATAAATTAAACAGTCCCCTAAATAGCATACAATAGTGCTGAAATTAAGCTATAGAAAGCGAGCAAAATTAAATAGCCGGAGGTACTATTCACCGCTGGAGGTTACTATTCACCGGTGGAGGTACTATTCATCCGGTGGGGTAGATTATTTAAAGTAATAAATTACAACAGTTTATATACAATATTTAAATTACAGCAGTATGTGGGTGGTGCAGCCATTCCATTAAAGCGATAAAAAAACAGTTTTGAAAAGAAGTAAATGAAGTATTTAAACAAATTATATCACACTTTAAAATTGAATGAAAATTTACAAAAACTTACCTTTCGGGAAATGATAAATTTTCTGAGTCACAAACTTGCTTTTGATTACTCTTAAGTCTGTGGAATGTGTTCTCAATTCTCAATCCAAAATTTGGAATTACAGCTTTAGTGGTTGGTTTTTGAATGGTGTATTGATGAAATGGAAATAAAAATATCAAAGAAAATATTTTATTTTCCCTCTCTCTCTTCTCAAACTCTCTCGCACCACTTCTTTTTTTCCCTCTCTGATTCTCTAATTTAATTCTCAGACCCTTCTCATTTTTTTCTCTTTCTGATTAGCCTCCATCCTCTCCTTTTGATTCTCTCAGACTTTTCCTTTTCCTTTTTTTTTTCTCTTTGCTGAGCCTTCTCTTGTTTCCTTATATAAGGAAATTATAATAATATAATAATATAAAATCTTATAATATATATATACTAGCGTATACCCGTGCCTGAAGGCACGGTGTAAATAATGTTAGGATTATAATATAATTGTAATCGCAACACTATTTAAATTTAAAATAAAAATGCAATTATAAAAATATATTTAATAGACTACACTCTACAATTCAAAACAAATCAAATATAAAAATAATAATAATAATAATAAGTATCTAATAATGCACACCAACCAGTACTCTGTAATTTAAAAGAAATTAAAATTAAAATACACACCAGTTAGTATTACTGCTGCCAATCAAATTCTAACTACATAAGAAAAACAAACATGAGCCTTTATAAACAACAAAGACCAAAGCTTGGATCTAATACTTAATGCACCCCTCAAATTGGATTTACTGACAATTTTTCTACTTTAAAAATGTTGTCACTAATAAATTTTTATTTATTGACAGATTACAAAAATATGTTTTATAAAGATGCTTTGAGATATTACTTATCATCTCAAAAACATATGTTATAAACAGATGCTCATTATAAAGATGCTTCAAACATACTTTTATAAACAGATGTAATTTTGAACAGAAGTAATTTTTACTTCTTAGAAAAACATGTTTTATAAAAATGGATATTACATGGAATGTAGTAATTTTTGATCAGATGTTTTAAAAATGAACAAATGTTTTGTAAAAATTCAAAATTCCCAAAGTAATATTACTTCAAAATTTTGAATTAATAGACTCTGAATTTTTATAAAACAGATGTTTTGAATTCAAAAATTAAAATTTTGAAATCAAAAATTAATGAGATGGAGTGCAGTAATTTTACAAAAACATCATCAAAATTGAGTGCAGTAATTACATCTGCTCCATTTTTGTTCAAAATTACTCCATTTTCAAAATTACTCCATTTTTGTTAAAAAAATCTGCTCAAAATTGCATCTGTAAAATCAAAATTACAGATGTTTTTATAAAAAATTTTGAATTCAAAATTACTGCACTCCATTTTTATAAAAACATCTTCAAAACATCTGCTCATTATAAAAATTCAAAATTCCCAAAGCATGTTTTACTTCTTAAAAATGGATTCTGCAATGTCTTGATTTTCATTGATAGACAATCAGCTTCTTGATAGACAATGTCTTGATTTTCATTGAAACAGACCCGTGCTATTCCTGCCTCTCCATTTTTGCACTTCCATGCTCCATCTACCACACGTATATAACTGGAAAACAGAATTTAAAGATAGGTTATTAGCAGGAAGACCACAATTCTCTGTATTTCCATCTTTTTCCAAAGATATCAGTAAGACATTCTAAGATATTATCATTGGAAAACATGAATGCACAGTTAGTCCAATGTTGATGAATCTCATTAGCAATTGAAATAGTTCTGCTCTATTGTCATCTTTTCATTATGGAAGACCACACTATTTCGCTGCCTCCAAATTGCCCATAGCAAGGCAATAGATTGAACAATCATGTCCTCTTCTTTAATCATTGTAACCCAATTGATCCACCATGTTTAAAGCAAACTGGGTGGCCACAAGTAAAGTCCAAGCCCCTAGAAGTACCTCTCCAAATTCTTTGTGATACATGACATTGAAAAAAGAGATGTTCAATGGTTTTGGCCGCATTCGCAAATCAATCACACTGGATTGGGAATATCTCTTATCTTTAACTACCATCTCACAGATACTATATTATGAAGACACTTCCACACAAATACTGCCCATTTAGAGGGAATTCAAGATTCCCAGAGTTTTTTCCAAACACAAAAATCAGTTGCATTCACACCACGTAAATCTTATAATCCTTATTTATCTCCGTACCTCAGAACTCAGAAAAAATACTTTCCATATACAAAATAAAAATAGAGCAGATTGTTTGAATACAAAAATAAAGCAGATTGTAAAAATAAGGCAGATTGTTTGAATACAAAATAAAAAAATCAAACTTTGAATATTTTCATAATATTCCTTTAAACCATGGTTGCTATATCCACCAAAACTATTCCTTTAACATAACCTATGACCACCAAAACATTCAATTAAGATTCTAATAATAGATTCACCCATAGATTTGTATCAATATATGCATGAATTGCAAATCGAATCATGACCTGAATCGCAAACCGCAAGATTCTAATAATAGAGCAAGCATCTAATACAAAAGTCAAACTTTTGAACAACAAAAAAATGAGTTGGACAAAAAAAATGCAAATAAATAAAGTGGCTTACATAAAGGACAATTGACAAAAAATTAAAATTTACAAAATATTATCTAACTGGATCCAAAGTATCAATTCCAACAGATGTTGGACTCGAATGAGAAAGGATTAAGAGGATCATGGAATTGATGTGAGGGGTCAGGGATGGATATATTTCTAGGAGATCCAAAGGAGTCTTCCAATGTATAGTTATGGATCCAATAGAATTCATAGGTATTGGGAAAAAAACCCCTATCAAAAGATCACTTCAAGACCACCACACTAAACACATCTAAATTCAAATAAAAATTAGGAAAAGGCAATACTTACACGTTCTATGGCTTCACGCTCCTCAGGTGTAACTGTTACAGACTGTGGCATTGCTGCAGCAAGCTGTCCCAGTACGTTACTGATAACATATTAACAGCAAATTAGGACCGTGAACATTCATAACTATCATTTAAATGAATATAACCAACCAGAGAACATACCCCTCTCCACCTTCAACAGGTTCATTGATCAGGCGAACAAAATCAGCCTGGTGCTCCTGAATAAGCCTCATCAGGTGAGGGTTTTGCTTCCCTAGCTCCTGAAGCATGGGCTGTCAATAAGAAGAGTAACTGAGGCTGTTTAGGATGGGTTTTTTAATTCTTTTTTTTTTCAGAAGAAAAATGAAAAATAAAATGTTCACATTTTTAAATGTTAGATGGACAAACAAAAAGACTGGCTGCAGAGTGGCGGATAAGAACCTGCAAAATTTGTGGATTGGCCTGCACCATAGCTCGCAAAGCTTGGAACTGAAATAGGAAATTGAAATGTTTATTAGTTTGATTTATTTGTTAATACAATCAGTGTTCATAAAATTTGTGTGTGTTTAAAAAAAACAAAATCAATGTTCTTAAATTTTCTGTCTTCATTTTGTGTGTTTAAAAACTGTGTTCTTAAATTTTTGGTGTGTGTTTAAAAAATTCAATGTTCTTCAATAATTCAATGTTCTTAAACAGTTTGGGATTTTTTCTCATCTCACTTTTTTAAGCTTTTTTTTTTTTTGTGTGTATAAATTCAATATTTTCAATGGTAATACCATCTTGAACCCGAACCAGAAAACCCAGCAGCACAAACCCATGAAATGGATAGCTCAAGAAAACCCAACTGTCGATTCAGTTAAAAAATGGAAGAACCTCTCAGACCCATTCAAACAAACACTTAATGGGTGTGACTTCTAATTCTAAATGATAGAGTCTTTTTCCCCTTTTTCTTCCAAATTTCTCAGCAACCAAACTTATACTACACAAAAGAAATAAATAGAATGAACGACATAAACTCATTCAGAATAGATTTCAGAATAAATCTGGAAAGCATAGATTTCAGAATAAACAACTATGTTAACTACTCAAGAACTCGAGGAGGCTTATAAGATTTCCATGAAAAAAATGATTCAAAAATTTCAAATCAAAGGGTTGCGAATTGAAGCCAGTCGGAGAGAAGGGAGAGATAAAGAAGAGAAACAAAGAGGGATTGAGATAAACAGAAATGAGAATCTCACCTAAAATATTTTTCTGCTTTCTTCGCAAGCCTTTGAAGGCAAAATCTGAAATCGCAATTCAAAACAAAGGGTTGCGAATTGAAAGAATATTAAAAGAATAACAATAAAAATAGCAGCGATATCAAGAACAAAGTGGCTGGCAGCTTAAATTTGTAAGCAGGACCACTGAATGGTCCAGCTAAGATAACTTCATCATACATAAAGAGTAAGGTAAAGATTTAGAAATGAGAAGACTTTAACCTAAACCACTTAATAGAAAATCATTAGTTCATAACTGTAGACACCCCATTTTTGACCGACCTTGAGACTCAGACGTCACCAGTTAAGCACTTGGTGATATTGCATAATGTGCTCGTTCAGAAGTTTCAGAGTCTTGGCTGCGAGCCCCGCCTCCGGATTTCCGAACCCTCTTCTGTGCCTTGTCTCGGTTTGCGAACCAGACTCGATTTTCTCTGTTTCTTTTCCTGAGGGAAGGGAGAGGTCCCGTAGACTATCTCTCAATGTCCGTAGGCTACATTTGGTGGCCGTAGGCCATTTTGCCCATTTCGGAGTCCGGTTCCCGGTTTTCGGAGCCGTCAGGCCGTGTGCCTCGGTTCGGGACCGCTTAACCATCTCCTATTGCTCTGATTTTTGGCATACGCGCCGACTACCTCTGAGTAAGAGAGCCTGTCAGCAGTCCGCATACTAGCT